GCAGGCTGTATATGTTTTTATCAGACAGTGGACATTTTCTTCAAAAATCTGGGTAACTTTCTAACAACCCAATACTAGGACTTGACTGTACTAGCAAGCCAATACTGAGCATTGGACAAGTCACCATCTCTACCATGCGGCAAAAGGGACTTGAAATGTTTAGGATCAAATGTTATAAAAATGTAATTGAAATTTGCATATATCCAATGATATAAAAGAGGTTCTATTTCCTGAGAAAAGATATACATTTTCTCTCCTGATGTGGGCACATTTAAAGTTTTGAAGACACGTGCTGAAGCTAAGGTGGTCTGGATGCTGTCAGTGCAAAGAAGGGAGACCACTTGAAACCTTTATGTAAGCAGCTTTGGGATCAGTTGTAGAAGAAAGGTGTATTGAATGCTACATAAAAAGTTCTTTTGTGGTGCTGGTTTGTAATAATTTGAAGAAGTATTTTCAAAGTGGCAGTGGGATCTGTTGGAGAGATGGCAAAGGGGTAGTAATTGCAAAAAACATCAGTTTATAGTATTGGTAACTATTACAGATGAACAATGGATGATAGCAGAAAATCTTATATGAACAGACCTAACTGACTTAGGGCCCCTCTCCCTTCCATATGCTTCTATGTAATTCTACCCCCCAGTATCAATGAAAAACTGTGGTCAGAGCCAGTCCAAGCAATTTTCCTGCTTAAGGTAAGGAAAATGGCACCCACCTCACTTATGTCTGCATAAAGTAACTGGTTTGGCAGTTGAGTCTTACTCGAGCATTGGTGACAGGAGAGAATTCTCCATGATTTTGAGGGCAAGATAGCCCAGGGTTTACAGGGTAGCTTGCCTAGAACATGCAACCATTTTCCTCCAACAGTTGGGAACAACCAGGCATGGATGCCCCTGCAAAAAACTGAGAGCAGGTACTTTAGTACAAGGGGCAGGTCTTCAGCATTATTGCATAAATACGCTGGCTCCTTTGGCACTAAATTCCTATTTATTCTGAGTCATGATCACTAGCATTGATCAGATATGCATGCTATATATTCATTTTTGTAGATCCCCAAACTATAGGTTGTATTGTTTTAAACAAAAGAAGGAAAAGCTGATGGTCACAGAACTTAGATGCACTCCAGAAAACTAATTTCCTCCTTCTCACAATGGAATTAAAGATGGCAGCTCTCATCAGTATAAATCATCCTTTTCAGAGGGATAAGAGTTGTTTGTCTTTATGTCGAATTACTCAAAAATTCTATTAAAATTATCTTAATTATATCCCACCTGTTATATTTCAGTGATTGCATATATTATGCAGAGTGCATTTTAGATTTCATTATCAAGGTCTTCAGTTTTGCAAAATGTCATCCATTGATTTGTTTTATAGTTCTTAATTAAAAGATTAAATTGACAAAGAAAAAAATCCCAAGGGTTTTTGTAGCCAACTAAAATAAAATAGAACATTGCCATTTTAAACCATGTTGGGGGGGGTAGTAATAAAAAGGCAAAGAATGAAAGAATATAAATTTTAAAAAAGCAAGCTCATTAGCATTTTAAATAAATGTTTGGTGCATGTTTTCCAACTTATGTGCTAATAACCCCTGCATGAAGTCACTGTCCTTGTCTTTGCAACACTATGGTTAACTGAATAGAAGATAATATATTCTAAAAATCTGGTACACATTAGATAGTGGCTTCTTGTTATTTTCACAGAAAAACAACAGGCTGGAGTCAAAGACAGGCTGGAAATCTTTTGATGACATACACTGGTATAAGCCCTGGTTATATCCTTCCCTGGATCTGGTATTTGGGCCTCAAGATGACCATTATTCTGCAAGAGTGGCTGTACTGATCAGTGGGTTCAATATGGTAACATATAATAAAGTTATCCTTTATCAGCTTTTAAATGAAAACAATCGGACACAGTTGTAGAAAACAAAACCAGTAAAGATTCATTGTATAACCAACAGAGTCATAGTGGTGTAGTTGTCTGAGCACTGGACTGCGACTTTGGAGACCAGGGTTCAAATCCCTGCTCGGTCATGGAAACCCATTGGGTGATCTTGGGCAAGTCTCACACTCTCAGCCTCAGAGGGAGGCACTGGCAAACACCCCTTTGAATAAATCTTGCCAAAAACCCTTTGCAATAGGGTCTCCATAAGTCGGAAAGACTTGCAGGCACACAGCAACAATATAATAAATAAACATCTCGCCTTATGCCTGTTTTACATGGATCACACAAATGGTGACCAAATGTCATAACTACAGAGGAGGACCAGGCGCCATAAAATGTAGGACATTCAAGAAAAATATAGGATATTACCAAAGAAAAGCTAAAAACACTGATATAAATACAAATTCATGCTTCTTAGTCATGTTCAAAATGGAGGCCATTTTGGACTTCCTCCTGGGCAGAAGGTTGGAATGTAAGACATATCCTGCAAAAGGAGGATGTCACATCACTCTGATTACATAGAAAAGTTTTTTTTCCAATAAAATAACATTCCTCCCTGAATTCCTTCCACATTCTTAACTCCCAGAAGCCCAGGAGATCTCCTTTCTCTTCTTCCTAATAAGCCTTGACTCAAGCTCCTCTTCATGGCTTCTGGCTTCACACTGGTAAAGGTGGGCTACAATCCTGTTCATTAGTCCCAACTAGAGAAGACTCAGTTGATTTAATGGATTTACTCTAGTTAGGTGTAACAATAAGATTTACACTGTGTTCTCCCTGCTATTTTACCCACAAAATAGCTGTTTATTGTAGCTTTGTATACATTAATCTTCTTATTTTTAAATACTTATTATAAGACACCCCGGAAACCATCACACTGAAAGAAGGGAACATCATATGTTTTAAATAAAATAAAATTAGAGCAGCATTTATTATAGGCACAAAGGTAATTTACCTGAAAATAAAAATTCATATGCCATTTGCCTTACACAATACATTGAAACATTCCCTGCAAAGCACACTTTGTCCTCTGTAACAGACAGTTACAGATGCAAAAACCCACAACCCTTAGACAAAATGCACACATTTAAAGCCTTATTTAATACTACATCAATCAGGTTAATATTTCAGACATTAATGTTTTTGGATAGCTAATTTGTGTGAATGGAAAATGGCTTGTTTAGTATGTTCTGGCCTGATGAGTTGCAATCTAAAACAGATGCTTCTGAGAAATTCCTCCCTACATTTTGGATAGTACTATTAGGCCTAATCCATACGAATGTGTTTTTGGCTACTTTACTGCACATATTGCAGTTTAAACATGAGGCTTTCCGTCATTTCTTAGGTAATACAGGGACTGCAGAACTATGTTTTTTGGGGGGGCTTTACATTGTCAGGCAAGGCATTAACTTTGACTACAACAGATATGTTTTTACAAAAGAGTGAAAATACACTTTGTTGTTG